GGAGTTATCCTTTTGTTATGTTCTCTCTTATAACTTAACTGGTAAAGTAACAACACCGTTTTGGTTGTTAGTAACTTACTTTAATAACCATGTTGTGGGAACGCACAGGCATATCAATGCGCACATGCACCACACTTGGTGTTCTCTACTTTACACAGAAAGTAGTACCACAAAACTATAAACTGATTTTATTAAATACATAACACCTTTTTTTGTGGAAAAAATGTATGAGACAAATTTTGATTCAAAACAGAGCATGTCTGGAAGGGGGGGGGGGGCAGAGAGGGACCGATGTCATAAATAAATGATTCTTTGTTCATTGATTAAACTGCTCTCAGCTGACTGGAAACTAGATGTTTCTGGGAAATATTTTTTACACGTTAATCATTCAGCTTCCAACTCTCTGTGAACCTAAACATTCAATTCAATTTCACAGCTTGAATAACAGTTTTTTTTATTATTCGTATTGCAAAAAATAAAACGTAAAACACTGCTGCTAGTATTCGTCCTTGCCCAGCATACGTTTGAGAATCGTGCTTTAAGATGAAGCTTTAGCAGCTCAAGGTCAGAGGCAACACTTACTGATTTGCACCACCTACAATACGAGGAAAGAGGAGGCAGACTGAGGAAGGTAGAGGAGAAAGACAATAATATCTAACATGAAATAAGAGGCTAACTCAGAAAAAAAAATATTCAGACATATCTGACAGATTTATGAAGCTTTTTTGTGACTTTCATGCAAAGGCTGTGGCAGCTGACGGCAGGCTTCTCAGCTCAAGGTCCTGCCATGTGATTTAAAAAATAAGCCTCATCGCTCAAACCCATTCCAGAATGATGAATCGTGATGTGACTGGGCTGGATTTCATTCCTCAGCTCTTATCATGGTTAATTAATTACCACGAGGAATTAAAGTGACAATCATCAGAAAACAAACGATTTTAATGGCATAATGTGGAAAAGAAAATTCGGGGAGTAGATTAAACTGGCAGATAGTCAGACATTTTTAAAATCTCTGTGTTTAAACCACTCATTTGGAAGAAGAAATGCGCTTCAGTGCACTGTAAATGCTTTTGTATGCACAACAACATTTCGGTTCGATATGTCTTCCTTCTGACGTACTTATTACTCTGCCAGGCAATGTTTTCGCTGCTGTTTGTCTGTTTCTCTTGAAAATTGATTGGTAGCGCTCAAGCCTTCTACAGCAGACCCCTCGCTGGTCAGCTAAGTTTTGGCACATTTTACTTCTTACTGCTTCATTCTCTGTACCATATTGCTTCATTCATTACTCCAGTCTATCCGTGCCTCATGGCCCATTCATTTCCCCCCTGAATCATCGTGTTATCAGTTTAAAATTCACATGGCGGCTCTCTCCTGACCAGCATCACCGATGCCAACGTACAGCACTCACCTCCTCTCTTTACTTTCTGTTTATCACTGTCTGTAAAAAAAAATAAAGGCTGCAAATGTTCAAGAGAAATGAGCAAAATTTAATGCTAATTTGTCATTTTTATGAGCATCATCTGTGACAGAAATGTCAGCAGTTGAAACTGTATGTCCTTTTTGACACAGAAGAGGCAAATTTTCTTTTAAAATGAACTGAACTTCCATTTAACCATATTTTCATTTTCCTGATGGTTGAGGACCCTGTGTTACTGCAGGCGTATAGCCAGTTTACAGAGCTGAAATTGAAGAGACGGGATAATAAACATGGTTTCCAGTATCATTTCCCTCATGAATCTTGTTGCTTTATCAGCATGTGGGTTTTCTACATGACCCCCACTTTCATGCTTCAGCGGTCTCAGTCGCCTACAAGCATGTTATCTAACTTGTTTCTGTATTACCACATGGTGAAATTGTTTTTTGAAACAGCTTATTTAAAAAACTTCTGTATGATATAAAATATGAAAACTGATATTGTGTCATTACCTATTCTCTACACTGCCAAACCAAAACTGCCTCATGGACATTCAGGAAGGCAGAGAAGTCAAAGGAATAGCTGCAGACATACTGTCTGTAATAAAATAATAAGAAAACATGTTCATTATTATATTAGGCTCTGGAATACCTAAATAGATTACTTTTGTTTGCTATAGTTATCAATGATGAGCTCAATATCATGAACAAAGTCTTTGAAGTCTTGTTTTATCGTACACAAAAAAAAAAAAAAACCCATGTAACGTCTTCTGTGTAAAGAAACAAAGGTCAAAAAGAGAAACGAAAACCTTGCTCATATCAGACGTGCCATTGTTTGCCACAGAACCAAGCAGGACAGCGCTGTCCTTTGATGCCACGTAAAAGTAAATGCTTAATTCAAAATGCAAACTGACATTTAATATTTCTTACATATAAACTTCTGTCAGAATTCTAATGTAGTGCAGATGTTTAGGTTGTTGTCTAAGGTCATTTACTCTTTCATATATCATGCAACAAAACACAAATCAAATGTCATTTTGGTTGCTTTTGATATTTGACTTTTTTCCACTCTTTTTTACTTCCTCAAGCTGTGATCAACTCCTGGGAGTAGAAAAGTCTGAGCAGTTTCTCAGCTGCTCTTATGAATGCATTGTTCTTAATAGAGAAATCAGATGAGCTGTCAGAAATCTTTTGAATTCACACCCCTAATTTCTTAATATCCTATTCCTGCTGGCACCCATTGGAAAGGGCTTCCTGTGGTATTCTATATACCATATACTTGCTATTTTCTTTTTCTTTTCTTTTTTGTTGATGGGTAAATTATGCTTTGTCCCATTCAAAGTATTTCTGTGCAGGTATTTCTGAGTTGAGTTGCCTACAAACATCTAGGATTAGAGGGAGGTAGTATACCTCACACAAACACACTTTAAAACAATAAAACTCGGTTATTTTCTGACCAGTATGCCTATGAAAATGACTTCCTCATTTTACAGTGTATTTTTTATTGCAATGTTGCATGTAACCATGTTTTTAATTGCATCCATGGCTAAGAGTGGACAAGATTTACTTACTTATTTATTTATTTATCAGCTAAATGCTGCCTCTTACTGACGTTTTCTGTTTTTTGTTTCCCTTTTAAGATACTGGGGGCGGAATCGTGATGGATTCCTTACTGCCAGCAAACCACTGGAGCTTCAATGTTACCAAACATTAAAAAGTGCACACAACGAATCTCTTAAGATGTGCTGACTTTGGAGTAATTTATTCGTGTTACCTCTTGAGTCTGCTGGATAGTTTTATTTTATTTTATTTATTTATTTATTTATTTATTTATTTATTTATTTATTTATTTATTTATTTATTTATTTATGTATTGCATTTATTTAATGATGTCTATTTTCACTTCTTCCCACCCACTCCCCACTCCAATCACTGTGTGTCACTGGTAACCATCAAGTGATTACTTATTTAGTATTTTATTTTTATTATATATATTCCAGATGGAAAACTCTGCTGTGATCGCCTCTTCAGGGCCAACACTTGAGTTAGAAAGGAAAAACATTCAATCACATTCAGTTAAAAGTACCGGTGGGAACGGACCTACATAAAGCTAACCATGTTTAGGAATAAGCCTCCCGGAAGTTAAGCGAATTTCGTTTCATAATAAATCAAATCATGCCAAATTAACTTTTGTATACGGATTTACGAGGGAAAGGTGTAAAATTTATAGCCTAAATAAAATATCCATCATACAGTTGTACTAAGAAAGTATCTGCAATCGAAGCGAATACCAGTTTTACAGGTATCACAACATGTTGCGACATTTGGAAAAAGAAAAATGAGGAAAAATGTATGTGTTGAAATAAATGTATGACACGTTATATCGTCGGCTTTACCTAGACCCAGGCTGAGCGTGGGTGTCACTGGGTTTTATATTTCTGACCTTTTTTTCTTTTTCTTTTTTTTGAGAACAGCACGATGGCACGGTGTAGTTACCAATGCTGCCTCATAACAAGCAGTGGGTTCAAATCCACTGTTCGGTGAAGGCTTTCTGTACGCATTTTGCATGTTCTCCATTTATCTGCGTGACTTTCTCTGGGTTCTCCAGCAACTGGTGATTCTGAATTATCCATAGTTGTGAATATTTTGTGTCTCTCTGTGTTAGCCCTGCACAGACTGGCCTATAGTAGCTGGGATAGGCTACGTTCCCACCGACCATGAACTGAATAACTGGTAAGAAATGGATTGATGGACAGTTATTTCCTGGTTTTGTCCAGTCATTTTATTTGTTATACCTGTTATTTTTTTCCTAATTGTTTTTTCTAACTTTACTTGAACAATATTTTATAATATTTTATAATATATATAATATATTTTGCATTTTTATTCATTTTATCATATCTATCTATCTATCTATCTATCTATCTATCTATCTATCTATCTATCTATCTATCTATCTATCTATCTATCTATCTATCTATCTATCTAT